CCCCACAAAACCATAATAAAAAATACTGATTAATGAAAAAAAATAAAAAAAATAAAAATACAGGCTGGGCTCAATGGCTCATGTCTGTAATCTCAGTATTTTAGAAGGCGGAGGTGGGAGAATCGCTTGAGCCTAGCAGTTTGAGACCAGCCTAGGGAAAACAGTGAGACTTTGTCTCTACATTAAAATAAAAAAAAAATAGCCAGGTGTGGTGGCACACACCTGCAGGCCCAGTTACTCAGGAGACTGAGGAGAGTGAATCCCTCCAGCCAGAAGATTGAGGCTGCAGTGAGCCGTGATCATGCCACTGCACCCAAGTCGGGGTGACAGAGTGAGACCCCCAACTCCAAAAAAAACAACAACAATACAAACAAACAAAACACACAAACAAATCTGGTCTGTACCAATCATCTATTTTAAATACCTGAATGGCTCCCCTTTCAGTCTATAGCTCAAATACTTTAGCACAGGCCTTTCAGAAGGAGATCTTGGTCAATCTTTTTAGCTTCACTTTCAACTACACTTATACCTAAGATCCATCAATAAGGGACAAGAAATGATGTCTCTCCATATATACCATGCTTCTTTCTGCCACACACAGCTCCTTCTGCAGAGTTAATTCCTTCAGAATCTGTGTTCTTATAGCACTATAGCAGTCATCTCTTGTTATGGGTCTTTTTTGCCCCCAATGCAGATAGGGAAGTCATATGTGGTAATGGTAAAACATAGGGTTCTACTTCAATCCTAGCTTACCACTTAGTAGCTGCGTGACCCAGGACAGGTCACTTAATCTCTTTATGCCCATTTTTTTTTCTGTAAAGACAGGATAATAATAGTTCCTGTTTCAGAGGGTTGTTGTTAGGATTAAATGAGTTAGTACATAATGAGTGCTTAGAATAGTGCCTGAATGTAGTTCTCAGTAACTATCTTTGCTACAATGATGATTATTTCTGTGACTATTGCTTCCTGCGTAATATCCTAGAACCTCAGAGATGGAATGGACTTTGTAGATCATTTAATTTAATTTCTTCAATTTAGAGATGGGGAAACCAGGGTTTAGAGGGGAACAGGGACTTTACTAAGGTCACATGGCTATTATTGTCAGTTGTCCCATTAACAAGAACCCAAAACACACCTATAATCTTGTGCTTTTCAAGCTATTTCATGTAGTGGTCTGGGTAATATTATCCCAAGGCCAAAAAGGGTAAGAAGTTGGCCAAGTGCCTACATCAAGGCAACAGCAGAGTCAGAAATAGAATCTAGGTTTTCCTACTCCTCATCCTGTTCTTTCTATTGCAACATGAAACACACATACCACTCTCCCTTGCCTCAAGCAGAGTCACATTGCAGCTCCCAGGATCCTCAGCTTTTGAGTGTCATGCTGAATTCCAGACATTTCAGTAATGAAAGGTTGTTTACAAATCATTTCTTCTGACAGACAGTAGGGGTGCTTTTGTTACTATGTTATTTTGGAGACTGGGGTCTGGAGTGATGAAGAGGGCAAGGAGTGGTGGAGGGAAATGCTGAAGCTCTCACCAAGGTCATACCAAGATCCCACAGCAGGGCTCATATAATGAGCCTCCAGCTGGATTTGGAACTTCAGTGAATTGTACCTCTATTAGATAAAGACAAGAAAATTCAGCTAGTTTATTGTCCAATCTCACTGTGCTGTAGTTTATTAGTCAAAGAGTTACTATGTGCAAGGGACCCCTTCCTGGTCCCCAAAGTGCAGGAGTTTTAAACCTTTTTTTTTTTTTTTGGTAACATTGGCTCCTGCACAAAATAAAATACTTAAAATTAAAGTTATAAAATTATAATTCCAGTTATATTGAAATACTGCTGTAAATTATTTTTAAATTGTATGGCTAGATCTTACTATTAACACATTGAAACCAATTGTATTGAAAAAACGATATAAAAATATTTTTAAAACTGTATAACTAGATGTTGTTATTTTTCCCAAGAGCTGCTCATGAAAGACCTATGAGCTGTGCTAATTATTGTGTACTAACTCACTAAAATAACAAGATGTAGTAATAATTTCGAAGTGGCAATAAATGACATTTCAAAATTTCTGCTACAACTTTAATATGATATGAAATGTTTATGATATATTCTGGTGGCCAAGATAAAGGACCTGGAAATACTGCCACTGTTTGCTGCCTGCATTCATCCTTGAAGGAAATGGTAAATTTCAATGAAAGGTTAGGGGAAAAAAGTTGTTTGCCCACCCAAGTTTCTGGACCCCGTGAATTCTATCTAAGGCCCTCTTGGAGTCTGCAAATCAGGTTAAGAGCTCCTACAGGCAAGTGACTGGTTTCTGTGTGCCCCAGAACTCTTCTTCAGGCATTGTTTAAGCCTTATCATCCTCCTCCCACCCTGAGGAGCTCTGCCCTTATGCCCTTAAACCCACTCTGCTGCACGCGCGCACACACACACACACACACACACACACACACACACACACACACACCCCAATACTACACAAGGATGTAAAGACAAACCTCCACCCTCCCTGTAGTATATAACCGTAAGGCTCTCAAGAAGTGGGCCTGTTTAGACCCGAGGTCCAAGGTAGATATAGCTTCATATCCCTCCTCCCTTCTGCCAGTGAGTTCCCCTACCAACCTCCCAATAGCCCCCAAGGTCCCAGACCCAGCAGGAATAGCCTACAACGGCTGGTGGGTGATTATAGGTCTGCCGACTGCAAGGCTCACTTCAGTCAGAGTTGGGTCCTAAGCTCCTGGTACTCACGCGGCTTCCGCCTGTGGCTGTGCGGCCCAGGGTCGCCGCCCCCGCCCCTCTGCGAAGCTCTCAGGCCCTGGTGGCTCCTTTTCGGCGAGCCGTTACAGCCCCAGCCTGGAGCAGGCGGGACCCTCGGTTCCCACTGTTAATGCTGATGAAAGACTAGGCGTCGGCCCCTAAGCTAACTTGGTCCAGGGGGCTAATTTTAGGCTACTCTCCACCTCCCCTGAGGCCGTGTTATCTTACCAGTGCCATTTTGGGAGTGATCCCAGTGAGAGGAGGGGGGCCGCCCACAGGGAAAACTGACTGACAGGTGCCTGGACAGGCTGGGGCTCCTGCTCCCAGAGTGTCCTTTCATGTATCTCCTCACCACTGAAATGGGCACCAAGGTGAGGCCCCTGAGCTGTGAATGTTCCCATTCCTCCATCAAGGGGCCCTAGGAGGCCTAGCCTCAGCCTAGAACTCCTCTGGGCTGGGGCTTTTTTTCCCTCAGCCTCTCTGGGTTTGCTTTTTCCTTCTTGAGGGCCCAGCAACTCACCACCATTGCCTACCCCCACTGCCTAGAGTGAGGAGAAGGGTGAAAAGGAGAACCCTCCATACCAGAACGTGTTACCAGTCAACTTTCCTAGAGCTTAAGAAGGCCCTGGTTATTTATAAAGACCTCTCCATTCCATTAACCCACCTGACTCAGCCTGACGATAATACTCACAGCTTCCCACTCTCCTCACCCCTAAGTTATCACTATTAGATTAACGTGTCCAGCATCAGGAACTTTGTCAAAAGCCCAGCTCTTAAGAGTATAATTTTTGTCTCCCCGACTGTCTTTAAATGAGGGAAGTGGCAGGGAGATACCTTTAGAAATAGTCACACAATCTATTTTAGGTATTACACAAAAAGAAACTGGGAGCCAGCGTCCTACCTCCCTCTGGGAGAAAAAGCCAGCCCAGCATTAGGTATGCAAACCACATTACAATATGAGCAACTATGAGAAATTCTCTATGGAGAAACTACAAAGCAACCACTATGTATAAGGTTCTAAATGCAGGAAGAACACAGAGAAAAGTAAGACATGGTGTTCCTTAACATTTTATAGTCTGCTAGGAAAAACAGACTTGGAAACAATTATATTTCACATAATACAAAAATGCCAGAACAAAAAGTTGCCCAGATGCCTGTGGTTATTTTGTGTCCACATCAATATCACAAATTAGTCCAGGGAGCTACTGCTGGGTGCTGTGTACTTATATCCCACCAAAACAATTATAACATGATTTTTTCTGCAAATAGAGTCCAGTCTATACAGAACCCTGATCCTAAGACATCAGGGCCCTTTTCAATCACCAGGGAAGAGAAAGTTTCAGTTAGGAAAAATGAAGAGCCAGTGAGGGGACCAGAGATGTAGTGGATAAAGCACTAGCAGCCCTGTTTCACATGATTACTTTGGTGTTAGAATTTGCACAATGAAAGGGAATTTTCATATTTCTGAAAGACATTCAATTACTTTAGCTTGAATGCTTCCAGTAATAGGGCATTCTCTACATCCAGAGGAAGCATGTCTCATTCCTTGTTGAGCAGCTCAGTTAATTCTTTTTACTGAGCCCATATCTGCATCTTTAAATTATCCTTGAAGTCTGATCTGCTCACCCTTAGGACCCCAGAGAACATGGTGACTTTCTCTACCCTCCATGTCAGTTTGTTCAAGGAAAATAGCTCTAGTTCCTTTATCTATTTCTTTCAAGCTGGTATCTATCCAATTCTTTCCCCAGTCTTGTCTGTCACACTCATGAAGTGTTCAAGTAGCTTACTTGCACATTGATAGTGCCAGGGAGCTCACAGGAGGGCCAGATGACTCCTTTGGAAACTGTCAGAGTGTCTCAATGTGATAGTTGACTCTGAAGATCAGAAACATCAAAAAGCATATCAGTTTCAGCTTAGTTTGAGCTAGAGACTTCTCACTGTTCATTGTCTGAAGCTTTATGCAAGCCTGATTAGCAGTCAATAAATAAAATGTTATGATACTACAAATGACAGAGTATGGTATTATTCTTGAAAAAAGATTAGCAGGGTTTTTAATATAAAATTTTATTGAGATAATTGTAGATTCACATGCAGTTGTAAAATTAATACAATGATTCTAAGTATACTTTCTCCCTATGGTAACATCTTGCAAGACTATAGTACAATATCTCAAGTATGATATTAACATTGATACAATCCACTTATTCAAATTTCCCCATTTACTTGTACTAATTTGTTTGTATATTTATCTTTATACAATTTTATCATATGTAGATTGTGTATACTACCTAATACAATATGCACAAATAGTTCTATTGTAATTAGGATACCTCATATTGCCTTTTCATAGCCACATGCTACTTCCTTCCCTCTCCTCCCACCTTGGTCCCTAACCACTGGAAATCTCTAATCTGGTCTTCATTTCTATCTTTTCAAAAAAATATCTGAATAAAACCATACAGAAAATAACCTTTTGGAGTTAGCTTTTTCACTCAGCATATCCTTAAAATTCATCCAAATTGTTTTGTGTGTCAAGTTTGTTCTCTTTATTACTGAGTGGAATTCATAGTATGTATGCAGCATAATTTGTTTAAATATTGACCCACTAAAGGACATCTGGTTTGTATCTAGTATTTACATATTATAAATAAAGCTGCTATGAACATCTGAGTACAGATTTTTATCATTGTAGTTACATAGCACGACATTATTGGGCACAGTGATTTCTTCCACTTTACTCTTCCATTTCAAGATTATTGTAACTATTCTAGGACCTATAACTCTTTATATAAATTTTATAGCAAGCTTGTCTATGCCTACAAAAAACCTATTTGAGATATTGTTGGAAATTGTGTTAAATCTATAACGGTTTGCGACAAATTGACCACTTTATTGTGTTTTCTGATCCATGCACAAGGTATGTTTTTACATTTATTTAGATATTATTTGACTTATTTTATCAGCATTTTGTAGGTTTTTTATAAAGCATATGGATTATGTGTTTTGTTAGGTATATACCTAAGCGCTTCCATTTATTTACTGCTATTGTAAATGGTATCGGATTTTGATTTTGGTTTCCATGTGTTCCTTCTTAATGTATAGAAAAGCAATTGATTTTTATATGTTGATCTTGTATCCTGCCTGAACTCTTTAGTTCCAGGAGAGATTATATTGTTGTTGTTCACTTTTAGGGGGAGGTGGAGAGAAATTCCTTGGAATTTTCCACATACCAATCATGCCATCTGAAAATAGGGGCAATTTTTTTTTTCTTTTCCAATCTGTATGCCTTGTTTCTTTTCTTTGCCGTATTGCAATCTAGGATCATGCTGACTAATAGTGATGAGAGTAGATCTATTTGCCTGTTCCCAGTTTTAAGGAGAAAACATTCAGTCTTTTACAATTAGGTATCAAAATAATTGCAGGTTTTTCATAGATGTCCTTTATTAAAAGTTCATGAAGTTCCCTTCTATTCATAGTTTGCTGAAAGTTCATGTTAAAATGAACATTAAATTTTGTTAAATGCATTTTTCTGCATCAAATGATGTGATCATATAATTTTTCTTCTTTAACCTGTTGCTATAGTAGATTATATTAATTGGCTTAAAATTTTGAACCAGACTTTCATTCTTGGACTGACGCTCCCTTGGTAATGGTATATAATTCTTTTTATGCATCATGGGATCCAGTTTGTTAATACTTTGGTGAAGATTTCTGCTTGATGAAAAATATTGGTTTGTAGTTTTTTTTATTTGTCCTGTCTTTGGTTTTAGTATCAGGTTAATAGCCTCATAAAATGAGTTGGAAAGTATTGGCTCCTCTTCTGTTTCTGGAAGAGATATGTAAAATTGGTGTTTTTGTAAAAAAAAAATGTTTAGCATAATTGTCCAATGAAACCATCTGGGCCTGGAGATTTCTTTTTTGGCAACCTTTAAATAACAAATTGCATCTCTTTAATGGGTATAGAACTATTCATATAATCTATTTCATCTTTATTAAAGCTTTGGTAGTTTGTGATTTTTGAATAATTTGCCCATTTCTTCTAAGTTGTTTAATTTATTACTGTAAAGTTTTCTTAGTATTCTCATTTGTAATTAATTACTTTATTGTACTGCTATATACACACATATATGTAGAATAAAATTTGTCATTTTAATCATTTTTAAGTGTATAATTCAGTGGCACTAATTCCATTCACAGAGTCATGAAAACATCATCATTATCCATTTCCAGAAGTTTTTCATCATCCAAATAGAAACTTTATACCCATTAAACAATAATTTCCCGTTTCCCTCCTCCTTCTAGCATCTAATATACTTTCTGTCTCTTTGACTGCCTATTCTAGGTACTTCATGTAAGTGGAATTGTATCATAATTTGTTTCTCTGTATGTGACTGGCTTCTTTCACTTAGCATAATGTTTTCAAGGACCATCTAAGCTGTGGCATGTATTGAGACTTTTTATTTTAAGGTTGAATAGTGTTCCATTGTATGTATGTACCATATTTTGTTTATCCATTCATCTATTGATACACATTCATATCAAATCAAGGATATATAACCCCAGAACTTAAAAAAACTGTTATAAAATTACACATAACATAAAATTTACCATTTTAAGCATTTTAAGTGTACAGTATATTTACTGTTAAGTATATTTATATTGTTGTACAACAGATCTTCAGAACGTTTTCCTGCTTGAAAAACTGAAACTCTATATCCATTAAACATCTCAACTCTCCTTCTCAAGACCCTGGAAAGCACCATTCTACTTTCTATTTCTATGAATTTGGCTACTTCAAATATTTTATATAAGTGAAATAATGTGGTATTTATCTTTCTGTGATTGACTTATTTCATTCTGCATATGCCCTCAGATTTCATCTAAGTTGTAGTACACGGCTAAATTTCCTTCTTTTTTATGACTAAATAGAAGATTATTTGTGTGTGTGTGTGTGTGTGTGTGTGTGTGTGTGTGTGTGTGTGTATAAAATATTTTGCTTATTCATTCATCCATCAATGGGCACTTGGATAGCTTCCACCCTTTGGCTTTTGTGGATAATGCTGCTATGAACTTTGGTGTACAAGTATCTCTTTGAACTCCCGCTTTCATTCAATTATTTTGGGTATATACCCAGAAGTGGGATTGCTGGATCA